CTCCCTAGGGATTGACTGTTCCTCTGCAAACAATAGGAATATAAAATAGATAAACTTTTGATTTGATTTGATAAGTCAAAAGTTAATTTGATTAAATAAAAGAAAGAATAATATCTATAACACTATTAAAATTAATTGAAAACAGACCACTAAAAGAATTGTTGCAAAGAGACACCTCCCAACTGCTAAACTTAATAGATATCCCAAAGGGACCTGTCAGTAGGGTTATCATATGACACTAGTCTCTGTTTAACAATAGCTACAAAATCCTGTCAGTCCCTTTTTAATATTTTTAATCAAAAATAACTGTGTCATGTGTGCTAATTCTCATGCTTTTAGAGATGAGAAAGAAGGCATATAGGTCAGTAGTTCTTGGTATCCTTTTTCGTATAGTGATATCCATGATTTTTTTCTAGTTATTCATTATTTTCCCTTCTTTCAATTATCTTTAAACTTGTTCACCTAATGCCCTCAAAATCATGCTACTTTCAGCACTGACCTTGTTCTGTGAATATGTGGTATGATCCAGCTATTCCTCCTGCCTTGGTTTTGATAATGCTACTTTCTTTTTTTTTTTTTGATGATAAACTGGTTTAATATGACCACTAAAACATGAAAATTCTTATTAAAAAAAACTGACATTAGAAATTTTTAAAAGTTCAAATAAAAACAGTCAAGGTCATATTAGAGTACCCAAATGCTGAATCTACTTCAAATACTTTAATAAAATACATTTCTTTAGCAATATAAAATTTACAAACTGATTTACCACAGACATATCCACAGAAAAGATATAAAGCATGAAGCATGGGCTGTGGTAATATTTGCTCTAGCAGGACTTCAAAACCATGCCTCTGCTACTATCTCACCCTCGAACATCCAACCATGACTGTCTTCTCAACCTTAAACATCCCCTTTTTTTTAATATAAATTTATTTATTTTTAGCTTTCAGCATTCACTCCCACAAGTTTTTGAATTCCAAATTTATACCCCATCTCCCCCCTTCTCCCACCCCAAGATGGCATGCATTCTGAATATCCCTTCCCCTAGTCTGTCCTCTCTTCTATCTCTCTCCCCTTCTCTTATCCCCTTCCCCTTCTATTTTCCTGTAGGGTAGGATAGACTTCTATACCCCATTTCCTGTATTTCTTATTTCCCAGTAGCATGTGAAAACATTTTTTTAAACATGTGTTTTTAAAACTTTAGGTTTCAAATTTTCTCTCTTTCTCCCTCCCCACTCACCCTCATTGAAAAGGCAAGCAAAACAATATAGGTTGTACATGTGCAGTTAAGCAAAACACTTCCATAGTAGACCTGTTGTGAAAAACTAACTCTATTTCCCTTAATCCTATCCTGCCCTCCATTTATTCTATTCTTTCTTTTGACCCTGTCCCTCCTCAGAAGTATTTACTTCTGATTACCCCTTTCCCAATCTGCCCTCCTCTCTATCATCCCCTGCTCTCTTGTCCCCTTCTCCCCCTATTTTCCTGTAGGGTAAGACAGATTTCCATACCCAATTGAATGTGTATGTTATTCCCTCCTTAAGCCAAATCCTATGAGAATAAGATTCACTCATTCCCTCTCACCTTCCCCTGTTTCCCCTCCACTGTAAGAGACTTTTCTGTTTTTTTTTTTGTGAGATAATTTACCCCATTCTACCTCTCCCTTTCTTCTTCTCCAGTATATCCTCTCTCATCCCTTAATTTTATTCTCCAGATATGACCCCTTAATCTTCAACTCACCCTGTGCCCTCTATCTATCTATCTACATATACATACATATAATTTTTTTCCTCCAACTACCCTAATACTGACAAAGGTCTCATGAGTTATAAATATCATCTTTCCATGCAGGAATGTAAACAGTTCAATCTTAATAAGTCTCTTATGATTTCTCTTTCCTGTTTACCTCTTCATGTTCCACTTGAGTCCTGTATTTGAAAGTCAAATTTTCTATTCAGCTCTGGTCTTTTCATCAAGAATGCTTGAAAGTCCTCTATTTCACTGAATGACCATTTTTTCCCCTGAAGGATTATACTCAGTTTTGCTGGGTAGGTGATTCTTGGTTGTAATCCTATCTCCTTTGCCCTCGGAATATTATATTCCATGCCCTGCGGTCCTTTAATGTAGAAGCTGCTAAATCTTGTGTTATCCTGATTGTGTTTCCACAGTACTTGAATTGTTTCCTTCTGGCAGCTTGTAATATTTTCTCCTTGACCTGGGAACTCTGGAATTTGGCTACAATATTCCTAGGAGTTTTCCTTTGGGGATCTCTTTCAGGAGGAGATCTGTGGATTCTTTCAATTTCTATTTTGCCCTCTGGTTCTAAATATCAGGGCAGTTTTCCTTGATAATTTCTTGAAAGATGATGTCTAGGCTCTTTTTTTGATCATGGCTTTCAGATAGTCCAATAATTTTTAAATTCTCTCTCCTGGATCTATTTTCCAGGTCAGTTGTTTTTCCAATGAGATATTTCACATTGTTTTCTAATTTTTCATTCTTTTGGATTTGTTTTACAGTGTCTGATTTCTCATAAAGTCACTATTTCCAATTGCTCTATTCTAATTTTTAAGGAAGTATTTTCTTCAGTAATCTTTTGGACTTCCTTTTCCATTTGGCCAATTTTCTTTTTAGGGCATTTTCTCCTCATTGGCTTTTTGGACCTCTTTTGCCATTTGGGTTAGGCTATTTTTTAAGGTGTTATTTTCTTCAGTATTTTTTGGGTCTCCTTTAGCAAGCTGTTGACTTGTTTTTCATGATTTTCTTGCATCACTCTCATTTCTCTTCCCAGTTTTTCCTCTACTTCCCTTACTTGCTTCTCAAAATCCCTTTTGAGCTCTTCCAAGGCCTGGGACTGATTCATATTTTTCTTGGAGGCTTTGGATGTAGGAGCTTTGACTTTGTTGTCTTCTTCTGGTTGTATATTTTGATCTGCTTTTTCACCAAAGTAAGATAATGTCTGACTCTTTTTGCGCTGCTTGCTCATGATCCCAGCCAATTACTTGAGTTTTAAACTCTTTGTTAAGGTATGAATCTGCTTCCAATGTGGAGAATGTAGTGTCCCAAGCTTCAGGGGGTTTGTACAGCTGTTTTCAGAGATACTTATAGGGACCTGTAAATTTTCAGTTCTTCCAATGTGGTATGATAAGGGGCGAGGTGTTTACTCCTTTCCTGGCCTGTGACTACAAGTACTCCTTTCTGTCTCGTAACTGTGAGGAGGGGTTCCTCTCTACAGCCACTACAAGCTCCACCAAGTCAGTGCTCCTCCTCACCCCAGCACCGCTGCCCAGAACTGTGGCCCAGATCTAAACATGGGCAAAGCAAGAGATTCTTGTCTCAGCACTGGCAAAGAGATACCTGCAATCCCTCTCTGATCAGCCACTGGATTCCCCCTCAGTGTGTGGGCCGGAAGCTCAGGAAGCAGCTCCCCCCCCCCTTTTGGGAAATGGAGCTGAAACCCCGCCTTCCTTTCTCAGTACCCACAGAAACAGACTTTTCCCACTGACCTTCTATGTTGTCTTTGGCATTGGTGGATTGAGGAGTCTTGAAACCTCCACAGCTGCCCGAGATTCAGTTTTCTGAGGCCTGCTCCAGGTTTGCTGCAGCCTGCGCACCCATGCCGTGCTGCGCTGCGCTCCCAGCCCGGCGCCATACACCGTTCTGATCAATCATCCAGGTTGTCTTGGGCTGGAAATTTGTTTCACTCTGTCCTTTTGTGGGTTCTGCTGCTTCAGAATTTGTTTAGAGCCATTTTTTATGAGTATTTGGAGAGGTTTGGAGGAGAGCTCAAGCAAGTCACTGCTTTCACTCTGCCCCATAATGCTACTTTCTCAGATAGTGTGTTTGGAACTATGATATTAGAATCTACCATCATTGGTGAAGTGGATAGTATATGATATAAATCATGACAGATCTTTTCCATTTGTTCTCATCCTAGTTCCTGGTTTAATCTGAGATTTGTAAATTCTTTTCCTGCCTCCCCTAAACATCACCACTTCTCAGTTTTATAAGGAGATATTGTTCAACAAATTGCTATATATATATGTTTTTTAAAAGAACTGAGCCTTTCATCTTATGTGTTAACCATTATAAAGTCAATGATTTCATTTTGATCTGTGCTTCAAATTCCAAAAAAAATTTTTTTTGAGTTCTTATAGCCATTCAGTCTGATTCCAGTTACCTATACTCCTGAGCTTTCTTTGAGGTGATATGTATTTGTCAAGAGATCACAATATTTATCTGTTTATTCTCAATTACATTTATCACCCTTACTACCCCGGGACAATTCTAGTCCTTGCCCTTCCTTGGTCAAGCACTTCTTTGTCATCTCCTTAATCTGACCTGAAAGCACAGTTCTTGTTGCAATTTAAAGTTCACTACTTCATAAGGTTAAGTACATTTTAATTGATCATCGATACTAATGCTTTTAACATAGGTTCTCTTTTGACCCTAATGGTACTCCTATAAAACAGGTAGTGGCAAATATCATCATGCCCACTTGACAATTGGGGAAACTAAGGCAAACAGGTTTACTGAAATGTTGAAACACAAATGGCTATTGGCTTTTTGCTGTTTCTCTACAGTGCAAAGACAGATTGTATGGTGAAAAGAATGCTAGTCTTGAACTTTGGAAGCACCTGGTTTGAAACTCTACCTTTGACATTCAGTAGTTGTATGTCTGTGGGCAAATCCCATCACCTCTCTGTTTCCTAATCTGTAGAATGGGGATAGTAATACTTGGACTCCCTAATTCATGGGGTAGCTGTGAGGATCAAATGAGATAATGTATGCATAGTGCTTTGCAAGCCATAAAGCTCTATATAAATGGCAATTGTTATTAATATTATTGTTGGATATTTATAATGAATTGTCAACTTTGCAGTTTCTCTTAGAATGCAAAGCCAGCCTGCATGGATTTATTCCTGTTACTTTACCCATAAAGCTTTTGCACTCCCCTGTTTTATTACTCATCACATTCATATCTTATTTTTTCTTCATAGATATCATTAATGGAGCTCAAGAAAAATGTGAATTGCCTCCTATGGATGGCTTCCCACACTGCGAAGGGAAAATCAAGGTAAAACAAGATGGCACCCAGTCATTAGGCATCCATGCCTTAGATAGTCTGATTTTATATTTGTCCTTTCCTCTTCCCCAATAAAAGAAGGTTATGGTATTCATTTTCATTAATGAAGATAGAACTCTATATACTTGTGAACCTCAATATCTTATGGAACTTGAGCAGCCTTGATGCTAATGTACTCTGTAGAGGATGCTAACTATTCAGTCAAGCAGAGAAACACAGCTCCTCCTTCAGGCCTTGGTCTATATTTTGGAAACTTTTTCAACACACAGTGGCAGAAAGGTATTATTGTTATAATCAGTGCCCAGGGCCCTTTATAGAAAGTCTCTGGATCTTGGGTTTAAATGTCACATGTGCATTTGTGCCCAAATATTTAGACGACCCTAGGTTATTTGAGTGTATCTTCAATAACCGTTTTTAAAAAAATGTTTTTGACATCCAAAATCTGGAGAAATGATTCTCCAAGAAAAGCAGAGTTTGGGAGGTTTCAGAAAACTGAGCAGGTCATGGAATTAAGATTATGATATAAAATCCCAAGGATGTTTACATTGTAGTCATCTGTGTCATTTCTAAATATTCAGATGAGAACTCTACCTGGTTGGGGAAGTAAGGTTAGTAATAGTAGTTCAGTATCCCTAGAAGATAAGCACTTAATAAATTTGATGATTGAGAAGGGTTTTTTGTTTGTTTGTTTGAATCAATATCATTTCAGCTTCAGTTTCCTGGTTTCTTGCTGTCTCATATAGAAACAACTTTGCCAAGCCAGACAAAGACCAGTGTTGAGTTCTTGTTACTCAAACACTGTGTTTTCTGACCTCTTTAGTTGGAGCTCAGTTTACTCCCTGTGTTCTTGTCCTCATACTTGAGCAGGTCAGCCAACCCTGATTCTCCTCTGATTTCCCTTTATCTGCTGGCAAATGTGAAGAAGTGTTGCTAAACGAACAACAATGATGTTTTCATTTGACTTTTGTCATTGCAGTGGATGAAAGATATGTGGAGAACAGATCCCTGCTACGCAAATTATGGTGTGGATGGGTCCACGTGCTCTTTTTTTATTTACCTCAGTGAGGTCAGTACTGTATCTGGTGGCTTTGGGGCCAGGGTGTGGTAGCTGTTTTCTCAAGTTGGGTTCTGAACTAGGATTGCTTTGGAATTTGTATTCATTTTCAATGGAATAGCCATGTTTTCCTCTTTTAATCCCCCAATTCCTAATGCCATGCTAATAAGTTGGCATATAAGTGAAATGGATATTGTCTTTACTTCCCTGAATTGTCATTTGTGCTATGTAATTTAAATATTACCTTCTTAGAGGAGCTCCAAGCACTTAGGTTCAGAAAATTAGGAAATATTAGAACTAGAGAGGAACCTTAAAGATCGTCTAATCCAGCCCCCCTCCATCTTATTTTATTTCACGTTTATTTCATTTTTGTCCTGGACTTGTAATATCATTGGTGGAGGTAATTTCCTCTGCAGATGGAGACTAACAACTTTTTTGTGATTTAGTCCCCAGAAAAATTTATGCTGGAGGCTATTCAGAGGCCAAGTGACTTACCCAGTTTCACAGGGCCAGTGTATGTCATAGAAGGGATGTGAACTCCAATTTTCCTCACTTTGAGTTTGCTCTGTATCCACTAACCTATGCTAACTTCTTCCCTTCAATTATACACACAGAAATGAAGACACAGAAGTATTTTAGCCAAGTTCATACAAGTAGGCAGGGGTTGACTCAGGACTAGTACAGAAACAGCCTTTTTCCCAGTCCAGGATGCTTTCTATTATTACCATGCTGCTTCTCTATGCAGAGTATTTTTTTCTAATCAGGTCATTTGTTAAAGGTTAGATTCATTATCTTCCTTTAATCGGTAGGAAGACCACGTCTTAAGGTAGAACCTTAAGGTCCAGGTGAAGGACAGGTCCAGGCATCCAGTTTGGGTTTTATAATGTCCTATTTTATCTCATTGGGGCAGCTAGGTGGCTTAGTAGCTAGACTGCAGGGCCTGGAAAACTCATCTTCCTGAGTTCAAATCTAGCCTTAGACACTTACAAGCTATGTGACCCTGGGCAAGTCACTTAACTTTGTTTGCCTCAGTTTCCTCTTCTGTAAAATGAACTAGAGAAGGAAATGTACAACCACTCCAGTCTCATTGCCAAGAAAACTACAAACGGGGTCATGAAGAGTTATACATCACTGAATATGACTGCAGCACAATAACATTTTATCTTATTCCTGCTTTACAGATTTATTCCCCTGAGCAAAGCCTGCTGACTACTCTGACAAGCTTTCAATTAATGAGACCAAGTTACTTGAATTCTGAGTATATCTTAACTACCACATGGGGGTTTTTGCCCTGCCCTTCCCTCCCTCTGTTATATTTTTGTTCTTCTTTCAATTTGACTAATTGATATTAATAGCTCTCTAATCATTCTAGGCCAAAGGGAAATGCCTCTGTTTTTGATAATGAATAGAGAAGTCAGCTGAATAAAATACTTTTGCTTGACTTCTTCCTTAAGGAATTCATATTTCCTTTCTTCTGTGCCATGATGAAAATGATAGGAAGGGTCTGCCCTTCAGCCCGGAGGCCAACTTGGCAGCTTATATAGACTTTATAGCCCAGATTTCCGTCATTTTTGCCTGTGAGGGTTGTCCTCACCCAGCTATTGCCTCTTTTTTCTTGGCACATAATAGAGTCAATCCTAAACATTCACATGGTATTTGTTCCTTTAAAAAAAAAAGCTCCATGCAAGTAAAAGACAGAAATGTTGATTCATTGAACCTATGGGAAATGGGGAGTTACATTCTTGAGACCACCAAAAACTATAATCTTTCACAAGAGATTGCTGTCACACTTTAGATATGCCTCTAGTCTCAGAAGTCAATTATAAGTGAAGAGGTCTAGAGGTTTTTGGGTGCTGCTGGAACCCCAAGGTCACAGTACTGGGCCCTGTCTGATAGAACTCAACTCAAATCTTCAGCCAGAGGAAAAGTTTATTAGTGATAAAAACACTTAGGGCCAGGTGACGCCTGTAAGGACGAGCTGGCATGAGATGTTCTCAGCCTTGTGGGCTTGAGATTCTCAGCCAGGTGACACGAGAGGTTCTCAGCGTGAGATTCTCAGCCTTGAATGAGGGCCAGGGTAGATCTTACATACTTTGGGTGACCAGGGAAAGGTCTGGGGAAAGGGTCTGGGTGAGAATTCCCAGAGATTGGAATGTCTAAGAGATTGAATAGACAATGGGAATTGATAATGAAGGAACTGAAAGGTATCTGAATGAGATCAAAAGGTAGGCCAAGACTTGCAAAGGAAGATGAGGGGCTGGGGCCTGTAGACAAAAGGGAGCCAGATTCCCTTGGGTCAAGGGGGGAAGACCTCGGCTTGGGCCACACCCCATCAATAAGCACCCTTTTCACCCTCAGGGTAAAGGTTCCTTATTCAATTTAATTTTCAAAAGTCTTCTTTTACCTTGTAGTTCCAGAATTTAGCCAGTCCAACTCCACTGATTGAGAAGCCTAGCTAATTTCATGCTCTTCTAAGGGTTCATATATTTCTTCTAAGATAAGAGAATTGTCAACCCCTCCACTCAGCATTCCTGTCTGAATTCTAGAAGAGTTTCCTGATTTAACAATTCCCCCCAAAAAAATAGGTACAAGGCACATATATCTCCCTTACTATGCTGCAAGTCAGTTATATTTTTTTATCCCTCTCTCTCTGTCCATAATACAAAGACACCAGATCAGAAATGGAAACAGTTTTACCAATCGAAATAACACAAGAAAGATGCATTGCTCTCTACCTTGTTGTTCCTTCCTAAGGATCAGTCTCCAAGATCTTTCTTCCCCTCTCATTTTTTTAATCTTACATCATTCAAAAATCTCCCCTAATAATGTCCTGTTTCACTCTTATATTGGATGAAGATGTGTCCTTCCTTCTTTGTTATGGCCAGTGCCTCTGTATCCAGGTACATGAAGCCTTGATATGCCCTCCCTTTTACTCCAACAGATTGCCTCAACTCTCCACTCCTCATCTTCTTTGTAGTGTCTCCTTATGTACTGGCTACTTCACTGATGCCTATAAGCATGTCCTTGTCACTTCCAACCTTTAAAAAACAAAATCTCATTTGATCCTGCCATTTCTGCTCGATATTGCCCTCTATCTCACCTTACCTTTTTGACTAAACTCTTTGAGAAAGACTATCTACACTAGATGCCTTCACCTTCTCTTTACTACCTCTTCTAAACTTTCTGCAGTTTGGCTGCCTACTGCATTATTCAACTGAAACTCTTTCCAAAGTTGCCATTGATCTCCTAATTTCCACATCTTAATGGTCTTTTCTTAGGCCTCATTCTTCTTGACTCCTCTGCAATGTTTTGAACTGTCAATCGTTTTTGTCTAGGATATTCTCTCCTCCCCTAGGTTTTCATGACACCACTCTCTGCTAGTTTTCTTCCTCCCTCTCTGACTACTTCTCAGTCTTCCCTTATGGTTCTTCATCCCTGTCACACTAGCTGTAGATATCCTCAAACGTTTCCTTCTGGGCCCTCTTCGCTTTTCCTTCTATATTTATCTCATGTGGTAATCTCATCAGCTCCCAAAGGTTTAGTTAGCATTGTGTGGGATGCCACTCAAATTAAAAAAACACACAGAGGTATCCAAGGAGAAGCAGAAAGTTAATTTATTATTATAATTATTTCAAACCTCGAGATTTGGGTGTCCCTCCACCAGAATACTCTGATGAAAGGAGACACAGACAGAAGCAAAGGACCTGATTAAATACCCTAATGGGCAAAATCCCCCCTCCCACCAACTGGCCAATATTTGGCTCACATTCTCAATGTCCATAGAAACTGAAAACAAAACAATGAACACAATATACATATCTATATTTCTTAGTTTGCTGAAGTAATACCAAAGAAACAATTAAAGATGTGCAGTCAAGCTAGACACTGTAGTGTATAGCCAGGTCACCATGACTGAAATATAGCAACAGGTGCATCAGCAGAATAGAGGGGGGGCTTCTTCAGGAGTTTCAGGCTTGGCAAACTTTAACTACTTAACAATGGCATAAGGGGGGTGTACTTGGGGTTGAATTCCCATAAATCAGGTGATTTCTAGTAAATTGAAACTTAGGCCTGTCAGGCTGCTATGCCTGCCTTGAGTCTAATACAATTTCTATTTATTCTTCTAAGAAGTTTTCATGGGACCCTCATCCCACTCAGCCTTATCCCAAACCTTAATTACACTGAGGAGTCTTCACTGGGACATCCCATTCAGTATCTCAGTGCAAAATGATTCACACATCTCTGTAGCCAGCCCTAGTGTACATCCTGTAGTATGATCTTGCATCAGCTTTTGGACTTCTCCAACTAAAAGTCCTGTAGAAATTTGAAGCTACATATCTAAAACAGTACTTATTTTTTCCTCCTTCCCCTTCCCCTATGTTCTACCTCCTTCTGGATTTCCCTATTTCTATTGAGGACAACACCATCCTCCTGGACACCCAAGTTCTCAACTTCATTATCACCCTCAGTTCCTCACTCTCACCCACCCCATGAATAGGTATTCTGTTGCCAGATCTCGTTATTCAACTTTCTCAACATACTTTATATACTTCTCCTTTTTTTTACTCACAAAGTCATTGCCCTAATTTAGCCTTTATCACCTCACTCCTGGACTTCTGGTTTGTGTCTCTGCCTGAAGTTCTCCCCACTTCAATCCATCTTTTACTCAGCTGGCAGAGTAGTTTTCTTAATGCTGAGATCTGACTCATGACATCCTCTTGCTCCCCAATTAATAAATTCCTCTGGCTCTTTATTATTTCTAAGCTCAAATATCCCTCTCATTGGTCTTTAAGGTTCTTCACAACCTTGTGCTTCCCTGCCTTTCTCACGTTCTTACACTTTTCTCTCATTCATATACTCTTTTGTCCTACTATACTTGCCTACTAGATATCCCTTGTACATCACTCTCTGTTTTCTTTGCCTTTACACAGGCTGTCACCCATACCTGGAATGTACTTATTCCGCACATTTGTCTTAGTTTCACTGACTTCCTTCAAGATTTAGCTCAAATC